TCTCTCTCTCTCTCTTTGTTCTCTCTCTCTCTTTGTTCTCTCTCTCTCTCTCTCTCTCTCTCTCTCTCTCTCTCTCTCTCTCTCTCTCTCTCTCTCTCTCTCTCTTTCATTCTTGTTCATGTTTTGCTGTCTAATATATTGATATCAATACTGTTATTATTATTATTGATATTATGTTAAATTAATATTATGATTATTAAATTGTTATTAGAATATTGATAACATGAAAGACAGAGACATAATGCAAAGACCTTTTCCATGAGTCAGGGAAAAGGGTAAACAGGTGATATAGGTAGGACTAGTAACTGCCTCCTTGCTTAAGCATTTGGTGCCGGGTATGACGTGGACATACGTGCTGTGCCCACCGTGAGTGCTTGTTTGATTGTTTTGAGAGAAAGAGAGAGAGAGAGAGAGAGAGAGAGAGAGAGAGAGAGAGAGAGAGAGAGAGAGAGACAAACACACAGAAAGAGAGAGAGAGAGCGAGAGATAGAGAGAGAGAGAGAGAGAGAGAGAGAGAGAGAGAGACAGACAGAGGCAGAGAGACAAACACACAGAAAGAGAGAGAGAGAGCGAGAGAGAGAGAGAGAGAGAAATAAACATATATATCCCCTTGGTGCCGGGTATGACGTGTACGTACGTGCTATGCCCACCGTGAGTGCTTGTTTGATTGTTTTGAGAAAGAGAGAGAGAGAGAGAGAGAGAGAGAGAGAGAGAGAGAGAGAGAGAGAGAGAGAGAGAGAGAGAGAGACAGACAGACAGAGGCAGAGAGACAAACACACAGAAAGAGAGAGAGAGAGCAAGAGAGAGAGAAAGAAAGAGAGAGAGACAGAGAGATATACATACATACATATACATATATATCCCCTTGGTGCCGGGTATGACGTGTATGTACATGCTGTGCCCACCGTGAGTGCTTGTTTAATTGTTTTTACGCATAGATGGCAACACTTGTACTAACTCCCCAATGAGCCAACTGCGAGCACCGCCCGTCTCGCCCGTTTACCCGTTTCTTGGATTTACGAATATATTTTACGTTATCTTGTTTTGCTGTTACTAATGTTAAAAAACACTATAAAAATTATAATGTTTATGATAAAAATAACACCATCGATTTTCATAGCACTAGTGAGAAATACGAGAAATTTCCCACCATTTCAAATCAGGCGCCAGCAGAGCCATCTATCGGCAGACATTTCACGAAAAACATAGAAAGTGGGCACAGCATTTTCCCCATTTTTTGTTCATTTTCCCCGGCACCATTGGGATAATGAGTACAAGCAAGTAGAAACCATATTGGCACTCAGAAAAGAATTGTTCTTTGTAAGGCCTTATATCTACGCGGTCTTTAGACATGCTTTCACCTATAAAAAATAAATAAATAAATAAATAGATAAATTGATAATTAAAAAAAAAAAATCGTGGAAAACATAAAACTGCATCAGACAGCATATCACAATCAAAAGGAACACACTTCTTTATGTTCATCTTCACCGGCACCATTGAACTAAGCACTTGTACGGCCATCTGGGTGTAAATAGAACAAACTCACATTACAGAGGGCATGGCGTGGACTCTTGCCATCCGCCTCGACTGGATAGATATTCTGACCGATTGTTCCGTTAGCCGTTTTCTTTCTTCCTTCTTTCTTTCTTTCTTTCTTTCTTCTTTCTTTATTCTTCTTTCTTTTCTTTCTTTCTTTCTTTCTGTCTTCTTCATTCTTTCTTTATTCTTTCTTTCTGTCTTTCTTTCTTCTTCTTTCTTTCTTCTTCATTCTTTCTTTCTTCTTTCTTTCTTTCTCTCTTTCTTCTTTCTTTCTTTCTTTCTTTCTTTCTTTCTTTCCTTCTCCTTCATCTTCCTTCTTCCTTCTCCTTCATCTCCTGACTGTTTATTCCATTATCTTTCCTTTCAATTTCCTTCATTTTCTCCACAAAACTCCTTAATATTTTTGAGAAAGAGAGAGATAAAAGAGAGAAAGAGAAAGGGAGGGAGAAAGAGAGAAAGAGAAAGGGGGGGAGAAAAAGAGAGAGAGAGAGATAAAGGGGTTGAGAGAGAAAGAGAAATGGAGGGAGAAAGAGAGAAAGAGAAAGGGGGGGGGAGAAAGAGAGAGGTAGGGAGAAAGAGAAAGAGAAAGGGAGGGAGAAAGAGAGAGGTAGGGAGAAAGAGAAAGAGAAAGGGAGGGAGAAAGAGAGAGAGAGAGAGAGATAAAAGAGAGAAAGAGAAAGGGAAGGAGAAAGAGAGAAAGAGAAAGAGAGAGATAAAAGAGAGAAAGAGAAATGGAGGGAGAAAGAGAAAGAGAAAGGGAGGGAGAAAGAGAGAAAGAGAAAGGGGGGGAGAAAGAGAGAGAGAGAGAGAGATAAAAGAGAGAAAGAGAAAGGGAAGGAGAAAGAGAGAGATAAAAGAGAGAAAGGGAAAGAGAAAGAGAGAGATAAAAGAGAGAAAGAGAAAGGGAGAGATAAAGGGGTTGAGAGAGAAAGAGAAATGGAGCGAGAAAGAGAGAAAGAGAAATGGAGCGAGAAAGAGAGAAAGAGAAAGAGAAAGGGAGGGAGAAAGAGAAAGGGAGAGAGAAAGAGAAAGGGAAGGAGAAAGAGAGAAAGAGAAAGGGAGGGAGAAAGAGAGAGATAGGGAGAAAGAGAAAGATAGTGAGAAAGAGAAAGGGAGGGAGAAAGAGAAAGAGGAGGAGAAAGAGAGAAAGAGAAAGGGAGGGAGAAAGAGAAGGAGAAAGAGAAAGAGAAAGAAAAAGAAGAGGAGAAAGAGAAAGAGGAGGAGAAAGGAGAAAGAGAGAAAGGGAGGGAGAAAGAAAGTCAGTCCTGAATAGTGCCCCGTTTTTCCCTCCCTCCCCCCCCCCCTTCCCGTCTCCCTCCCTGAAATAATACCTTTCTCTCCCGCCAGGAGCGCTGCGAGGCGGAGGAGTACGACTTCGAGGATGTGCTCGGTGAGTTCCATTGACACTCATTGACATAGATTTTGACTTTTCCTTTGACATTGACACTCCCCTGTCATTCTGATCGTTGTAGTCAGTCTGGCTGTCATGGTGTTGTTTTGGGTTGCCATTTTGTCATCATTCTGGCTGGCATATTTTCATTTTAGTTGCCATGTTGTCATTTTAGTTGCCATGTCATTTTGGTTGCCATGTTGTCATTTTTAGTTGCCATGTTGTCATTTTGGTTGCCATGTTGTCATTCTGGCTGTCATGTTGTTTTTGGTTGCCATTTTGTCATTTTTAGTTGCCATGTTGTCATTTTGGTTGTCATGTTATTTTTAGTTGCCATGTTGTCATTTTGGTTGTCATTTTAGTTGCCATGCTGTCATTTTAGTTGCCATGTTGTCAATCTGGTTGTCAAATTGTCATTGTCATAAAATTGTCATCCCATAGTTGTCCTATTTGTGCCTCTTGCCTATGACACTCGTATGACAAGCGTCGCGCATCCGAGGCGGAGGTTCTTGGGTTATGAAGTTGATTCTGAAGTTGATTATCTGTTGATTGTGAAGTTGATTCTGAAGTTGATTATCTGTTGATTGTGAAGTTGATTATCTGTTGATTCTGAAGTTGATTATCTGTTGATTGTGAAGTTGATTCTGAAGTTGATTATCTGTTGATTGTGAAGTTGATTCTGAAGTTGATTATCTGTTGATTATCTGTTGATTATCTGTTGATTGTGAAGTTGATTATCTGTTGATTCTGAAGTTGATTATCTGTTGATTGTGAAGTTGATTCTGAAGTTGATTATCTGTTGATTATCTGTTGATTGTGAAGTTGATTCTGAAGTTGATTATCTGTTGATTGTGAAGTTGATTCTGAAGTTGATTATCTGTTGATTCTGAAGTTGATTATCTGTTGATTCTGAGGTTGATTGTGAAGTTGATTCTGAAGTTGATTATCTGTTGATTCTGAAGTTGATTCTGAAGTTGATTATCTGTTGATTCTGAGGTTGATTGTGAAGTTGATTCTGAAGTTGATTATCTGTTTATCTCTGTTGATTATTACCTCCGCCAAGGTTTGTTGGCTTGTTTGTTTGTTTGTTTTTTAGCAGCGTAGCTCAAAAAGTGCTGGCTGGATTTCATCGAATCAGAAAGGGACTAACGTAGAACTGATTCAATTTGGGTGACATTCCGAATGACCGTCTGGTTCTTATCATTATTATTATTATTATTATTATTATTATTATTATTATTATTATTATTATTATTATTATTATTATCATCATTAATTAGCCCATAAGGTACACAAATCTACGGTAAACGTGTGCCACATTTCACTGGCATTCCGGATTACCGTCTGGACGCAGCCGAAGTATATATATATATATATATATATATATATATATATATATATATATATATATATTATATATATTATATGATAAGATAAGATAAGATAAGCAAGAGATAAGAGATTGATAAGAATTTATGGTTGATTTATGGTTCTTAGGAAGAAGTTACATCATCGCTTGCCTTCAGAGTTAATCTCCTTGTTCATTTAGCATAAGCGTTGCAGGTCTAGATTCATCCTCCACTAATTACCCTCATTAATCCTCCCCACAGGGCTAATGACCCTCACCGTCTCTCCTGCAGATAACTACGTGCTGCCTGTGGAGGGGGCGCTGGGCTCGGCAAGGACCTCCCTGGGCGCGCACCCCCCCGTGGGCGGAGCATCCTGTGGGCCCCGGCAGCGGAGGGAGCGCCCGGCGGAGCTCTGGTCCAGGAGGACCTTTGGGCCTGGGGCGGCGCAGCAGCCTCCCCTCCCCCCCTCCCTCCCCCTCTCTCTCTCGCCGTCCGACGCCCCGGCCCCCCCTCCCCCCCTCCCGTCTCCTCCGGGGGTTCTCCCCGCGGCCCCCCTCCCCCCCTCCCACTCCTCCTCCTCCTCCTCTCCCCCCTCTTCCCTTCCCTCCCTCGCTCTGCCGTCCCTCCCCCCCCTCCTCTCGACGTCCCTGCCCCCCCCTCCCTCGTCCCACGCGCTCTCCCTCCCTCCGAATCCTCCCCTCCCCCACCCACCCCCTCCCCCCACCCCCTGCTCGTCCTCGTCCCTGACGCAGCGCAGCACGAGGAATGGCGCGCCGGGCGTCCAGCACCGCCTCTACGCCCGCCACCACCACAGCGCCGCCGGCTGCCCGTGCCGAGCCCACAGCGAGGTAGCTACTGTTGTAAATAGTAGAATAGAGAGAAATGTGTAATTGTAAACAAAAGTAATAAAGGTTAAAATACATCTCCTTAAAATAAGTTGGAAAAAAAAAATAAATAAAAAAAAGTCGCTATTAGAGCACTTGGGAGAACCATGCAACGGTTCAGTCCAGTAGTTGTTGCTTATTGCTTATTCTGTTCTTTATTGCGTGTTGCTTGTTCCATTATTTATTGCTTATTGCTTATTCTGTTCTTTATTGCGTGTTGCTTGTTCCATTATTTATTGCTTATTGTTTATTCTGTTCTTTATTGCGTGTTGCTTGTTCCATTATTTATTGCTTATTGCTTATTCTGTTCTTTATTGCGTGTTGCTTGTTCCATTATTTATTGCTTATTGTTTATTCTGTTCTTTATTGTGTGTTGCTTGTTCCATTATTTATTGCCTATTGTTTATTCTGTTCTTTATTGTGTGTTGCTTGTTCCATTATTTATTGCTTATTGCTTATTCTATTATTTATTCCTTGTTGCTTGTTCTATTATTTATTCCTAATTGCTTATTGCTTATTTAATATCTATTTCTTATGATTTTAGTAATTATTAAATGATTTATAATACGATTGATTTATTTATTTATTTATTTATTTATTTATTTATTTATTTATTTATTTATTTATTTATTTATTTATTTATTTATTTATTTATTCATTCATTTATTATTTATAAGATATTTACATATTTGTACTTTAATAAATATTAAATTATTTAAGATAAGAATAATTAATTAATTAACTGTAATGATAATGTCCTAACCCTGATAATGAAAAAAATTATAATGATGTAATAATAATGATATGAATTGTTATGAAAATATAATGATAATAATGATAAAGAGTAATAATATTTATGGTGATAAAGTTCTATTGTATTTATTTATTATATTTATTTATTTATTCTATTGTATTTATTTATGTATTTATTTATAGACACATTTATTTGTTGTATTTACACATAGATGGCTCCACAAACAGCCAGTTATCAAGAACTACCTATTTCACCTGTTTACCCTTTTCCTTCACTTTTGGAAAGGGATTTTTGTATCATTTCATTGTCTAAAATATTCTAATGACAATTTAATAATCATAACATCAATAACATTAATAACAGTATCGAAAGCAATGGTATTAGTTTTCCCGCCAATGCAATGAATGGGAAAATCAGGGTCGGTCACTAGGGCCTACTGATAGACTCCTTGCCGGCTGAGCACATGTGGAGCCATCTGTAGGTAACAAAATTCACTAATATTAACATAATAACATTGATAACAATGATATTAATGAGAAAAAGACATTTTCCCGCCAAATCAAGGAATGGGGAAATCAGGGTCGGAAACTAGGGCCTACTGATAGACTCCTTGCCGGCTGAGCACATGTGGAGCCATCTGTAGGTAACAAAATTCACTAATATTAACATAATAACATTGATAACAATGATATTAATGAGAAAAAGACATTTTCCCGCCAAATCAAGGAATGGGGAAATCAGGGTCGGAAACTAGGGCCTACTGATAGACTCCTTGCCGAATGAGCACGTGTGGAGCCATCTGTAGGTAACAAAATTCATCAAAAACTACAGAGGACAGAACATAATTCCATAGCGAATGGGTTAATGATGATAATCATTGTAATAATAATTATAGTGATAATCATTGTAATAATAATTATAGTGATAATGATTGTAATAATAATTATAGGATAATGATTGTAATAATATCTATAATGATGATAATGGTGATGATTTTTTATAATGATGGTAATATCGATAATATTGATAATTATGATACAATATCACTTATTCTGTTAATGATAATAGTATGACAATGCTATTTTCTTCTTCTTCTTCTTTTTTTTAGTAGAGTTTTTAAGTTTTTTTTTAGAGTAGAGTTTTCTTTTTTAAGAGTAGTTTTCTTTTTTCTTTTCTTTTTTTTTTCTTTTTTTTTCTTTTTCTTTTCTTTTTTTTTCTTCCCTCTTCCGGCCTGCAAGGAGTCTATCAGTCGGCCCTTGTTTCCGACCCTGATTTCCCCATTCCTTGAATTGGCGGGAAAATACGTTTTTCTTATTAATACCATAATTGTCTGTATTATTACTGTTATTGATGTTATGATTATTAAATTGTCATATAACCCATTTGCCCCGGAATTATGTTTTGTCCTCTGTAGTTTTTGATGAATTTCGTTACATACAGATGGCTCCACACGTGCTCATTCGGCAAGGAGTCTATCAGTAGTCCCTCGTGACCGACCCTGATTTCCCCATTCCTTGAATTGGCGGGAAATTGTGTTTTTCTTCCCAATACTATTAATATTGACATTGCTGTCACTCTTACTGGTATTATGAATATTAGCCCAACCGCCCCGGATTTATGTTCTGTCCCCTGTAGTTTTTGGTGAATTTTGTCACATACAGATGTCTCCACGTGTGCTCAGCCGGCAAGGAGTCTATCAGTAGGCCCTCGTGACCGACCCTGATTTCCCCATTCATTGATTTGGCGGGAAAATGTCTTTTTCTCATTAATATCATTGTTATCGATGTTATTATTGTTATTAATGTTAATATTAGTGAATTTTGTTACCTACAGATGGCTCCACATGTGCTCAGCCGGCAAGGAGTCTATCAGTAGAACCTAGTTACCGACCCTGATTTCCCCATTCCTTGATTTGGCGGGAAAACTAATACCATTGCTATCGATACTGTTATTATTGTTATTGATGTTATGATTATTAAATTGTCATTAGAATATTTTAGACAATGAAATGATACAAAAAACCTTTTCCTAAAGTGAAGGAATTGTCATTAGAATATTTTAGACAATGAAATGATACAAAAAACCTTTTCCTAAAGTGAAGGAAAAGGGTAAACAGGTGAGAGAGAGTCAGTTCTGATAACTGACTCTTTGGTAATTAAGACCTTATAGAGCCATCTATGTCTAAATACAGTAAATAAACTTGCATTACAATGAACGTATTACAATAAACTTGTATTACAATAAATAAACTTGTATTACAGAAGGGCATGGCATGTATTCTTGCAAAACGAGGTGAATGGGATAATCAATCTCTTTTATCTATAATCTTTATTTATCTATAATCTTATTCATGAATCTTATGTATTCATTTTTAATCGTATTCCTGAACCTTATTTATCTATAATCTCTATTCATCTATAATCGTCTTCAGTCTTGTTCATTCATCTATAATCGTCTTCAATCTTGTTCATTCATTTATAATCATCTTCAATCTTGTTCATTCGTTTATAATCGTCTTCAATCTTGTTCATTCGTTTATAATCGTCTTCAATCTTGTTCATTCATTTATAATCGTCTTCAATCTTGTTAATTCATCTATAATCGTCTTCAATCTTGTTCATTCATTTATAATTGTCTTCAATCTTGTTCATTCGTTTATAATCGTCTTCAATCTTTTTCATTCATCTATAATCGTCTTCAATCTTGTTCATTCATCTATAATCGTCTTCAATCTTGTTCATTCATTTATAATCGTCTTCAATCTTGTTCATTCGTTTATAATCGTCTTCAATCTTGTTCATTCATCTATAATCGTCTTCAATCTTGTTCATTCGTTTATAATCGTCTTCAATCTTGTTCATTCATCTATAATCGTCTTCAATCTTGTTAATTCATCTATAATCATCTTCAATCTTGTTCATTCATCTATAATCGTCTTCAATCTTGTTCATTCATTTATAATTGTCTTCAATCTTGTTCATTCATCTATAATCGTCTTCAATCTTGTTCATTCATCTATAATCGTCTTCAATCTTGTTCATTCGTTTATAATCGTCTTCAATCTTGTTCATTCATCTATAATCGTCTTCAATCTTGTTCATTCATCTATAATCGTCTTCAATCTTGTTCATTCATTTATAATCGTCTTCAATCTTGTTCATTCATCTATAATCGTCTTCAATCTTGTTAATTCATCTATAATCGTCTTCAATCTTGTTCATTCATCTATAATCGTCTTCAATCTTGTTCATTCATTTATAATTGTCTTCAATCTTTTTCATTCATCTATAATCGTCTTCAATCTTGTTCATTCATTTATAATCGTCTTCAATCTTGTTCATTCATCTATAATCGTCTTCAATCTTGTTCATTCATCTATAATCGTCTTCAATCTTGTTAATTCATCTATAATCGTCTTCAATCTTTTTCATTCATTTATAATCGTCTTCAATCTTGTTCATTCATCTATAATTGTCTTCAATCTTGTTAATTCATCTATAATCGTCTTCAATCTTTTTCATTCATTTATAATCGTCTTCAATCTTGTTCATTCATCTATAATCGTCTTCAATCTTGTTAATTCATCTATAATCGTCTTCAATCTTTTTCATTCATTTATAATCGTCTTCAATCTTGTTCATTCGTTTATAATCGTCTTCAATCTTGTTCATTCGTTTATAATCGTCTTCAATCTTGTTCATTCGTTTATAATCGTCTTCAATCTTGTTCATTCATTTATAATCGTCTTCAATCTTGTTCACTCATTTATAATCGTCTTCAATCTTGTTCATTCATTTATAATCGTCTTCAATCTTGTTCATTCGTTTATAATCGTCTTCGTGAATCTCCATCTGATTCTTTTGCTTCTGGCCTTGCTGCCTTCCAGGTCTCCCCGGCGGCTGGGCCCTCGAGCAGCAGCGCCATCGCTCCGGCCAACGGGGAGAAGCCTCACCCCGGGAGAGCCAATGGCGTGGCCCCTTCCCCCTCCAGCCCCTCCTCCCCCTCCTCCCCGGGGATGCCATTGGCCGAGGCTCTGCGCGGGGGGCGGGCCTTAGTGCCAGTGGGGGGTGCAGCCGAGGGACGGGAGGCCCAGAGGGGGCGGAGCCTCGTGCCGGTGGGGGGCGTGGCCGGCACGAGAGGTGGGCGTGGCCAGAGGCACCAGCGCCAGCCGCAGGGCTTCCTGAAGACGGTGTCCATCATCGACACCCTGAGCGAGCTCGCCCACGGCCCTGAGGCGACGCGCTTGGCGCAGGAGGAGCCCCGGCCGACCCTCGGCCTCGCCCCCAACCCCCCTTCGTCCTCGTCCTCGTCCTCGTCCTCCTCCTCGAACCACCCGGGCCCCCTCCCCCCCCACCACCATCCGCCTCTCCCTCCCCCCTCGGCTCACCTTCCCCCCTCGTCCTCCTCCCGGGGGGCCGGACCAGGGGCGGCACCCCAGCCCGCCCCCACGGCCGAGTTCCGGGGGGCAGCCGGCCAGGCGGTCGCCCATGACTCCACGGCCGGATTTGGGCCGGCGGTCAGCCAGATGGTCCCGTCGTACTGCCCTGCCGGTGCCAGTTTTGGGCCGATAGTCAGCACGGCGGTCCTGTCACACTCCCCTGCCGGCGCTGGCTTTGGGCCAGCGGTCGGCCAGGCCCTCTCGTCCCATGCCAGCACCAACCTGACCTCAACCCAGCAAGCGGCTGCCGGCGACCCGGCGCCCGCGCCCGGCAGCCAGGCAGCACCGACCCCAGCGGCTGCCGCCACCAACCCCCTCCTCCCCCCCGTGCTCTCGCCCGACTTCCGGCAGTACAGCGAGAAGATCTACGACGCCGTGACCTCCTCCTCGTCCGGCGCGGCAGGCGTCAGGCGCTGCGTCGGAAGCCTCGGGGGGGCAGGGGGGCCCCTGAGGATGATCCCGGAGCGAGGGGCAGGGAGAGGCAAGGAGAGGACGACGGGCGAGAGGAAGAGGGGGACGGGGAGGGCGGACGAGAGAGGCACAGGGACCGGGGGGGAGGAGAGGAGAGGCCGAGAGAGGCCAGGGGGGGGAGGGAGAGGGACAGAGAGAGGCAAGAGGATCGAGACGGAAAGAGCAGCGGGCAAGGCAAGGCCGAGCGCCAGAGAGGGCGGGAGCAGGAGGCCGAGCGAGAGGGAGCACGGAGGAGCGGGAAGGGAGAGAGGGACGGAAAGAGGCCGGACGCCAGACTGGATCAAGAGGATATTCGACGTCGCCAAGAACGGGGAACTGCACTCGCTGGTTAGTCCCGGAACCGTCTGTCTCCAACGTCTTGCTTTCGCCCCGACTCCGTGTCTGTTATGGCTGTCTATTATGTTATATATATTACGTCTATAATGTCTCGGTAACAGTAATATCTTTATAATAATAATAATAGTAAAAATAGGTAATAATGATAATATAATATTAATATCTGTCTATTATGTCATATATATTACGTCTATAATGTCGCGGTAACAGTAATATCTTAATAATAATAATAATAGTAAAAATAGATTATAGTAATATAATATTGATAGAGATATTATAGAGAGAGATATTATAGATATTATTATATTATAGATAAAGATATTATTGTCGTTGCTTTCAATTGAATTTTTTTTTTCTCTTTTTTTTTTTTCTCTTTTTTTTTTTCTTTTTGAAATTTGCTTGTCTTCTCACAAATTCACATAAACTGTTCTCATTACATTTTTATCACATAATTGTTTCTTGTATCACATTTTTACAAAAAAAAATTTCTCTTCGTAATTTCTGTTTGTCATATTTTCACATAATTTTTTTTCTCATTCTTTCCCATAATATGTTCTCATATTTTCATGTAATTTCTTCTCATATTTTCACATAATCTGTTCTCATATCTCTCCCACAATCTCTTCCTCTCCCTTCCTCCCTCCCTGCCTCCCTCCCTGCCTCCCTCCCCCCCAATCTCTCTTTCTCCCTTCCTCCCTCCCTTCCTCCCTCCCCCCCAATCTCTCCTTCTCCCTTCCTCCCTCCCTTCCTCCCTCCCCCCCAATCTCTCTTTCTCCCTTCCTCCCTCCCCCCCAATCTCTCTTTCTCCCTTCCTCCCTCCCCCCCAATCTCTCTTTCTCCCTCCCTTCCTCCCTCTCCCCCAATCTCTCCTTCTCCCTTCCTCCCTCCCCCCCAATCTCTCCCTCTCCCTTCCTCCCTCCCCCCCAATCTCTCCCTTCCTCCCTCCCTGCCTCCCTCCCTGCCTCCCTCCCCCCCAATCTCTCCTTCTCCCTTCCTCCCTCCCCCCCAATCTCTCTTTCTCCCTTCCTCCCTCCCTTCCTCCCTCCCCCCCAATCTCTCCTTCTCCCTTCCTCCCTCCCTTCCTCCCTCCCCCCCCAATCTCTCTTTCTCCCTTCCTCCCTCCCTTCCTCCCTCCCCCCCAATCTCTCCTTCTCCCTTCCTCCCTCCCCCCCAATCTCTCCTTCTCCCTTCCTCCCTCCCCCCCAATCTCTCTTTCTCCCTTCCTCCCTCCCCCCCAATCTCTCTTTCTCCCTTCCTCCCTCCCCCCCAATCTCTCTTTCTCCCTTCCTCCCTCCCCCCCAATCTCTCTTTCTCCCTTCCTCCCTCCCCCCCAATCTCTCTTTCTCCCTTCCTCCCTCCCCCCCAATCTCTCCCTCTCCCTTCCTCCCTCCCCCCCAATCTCTCTTTCTCCCTTCCTCCCTCCCCCCCAATCTCTCTTTCTCCCTTCCTCCCTCCCCCCCAATCTCTCTTTCTCCCTTCCTCCCTCCCCCCCAATCTCTCTTTCTCCCTTCCTCCCTCCCTTCCTCCCTCCCCCCCAATCTCTCTTCTCCCTTCCTCCCTCCCTTCCTCCCTCCCCCCCAATCTCTCTTTCTCCCTTCCTCCCTCCCTTCCTCCCTCCCCCCCAATCTCTCCTTCTCCCTTCCTCCCTCCCTTCCTCCCTCCCCCCCAATCTCTCTTTCTCCCTTCCTCCCTCCCCCCCAATCTCTCTTTCTCCCTTCCTCCCTCCCCCCCAATCTCTCTTTCTCCCTCCCTTCCTCCCTCTCCCCCAATCTCTCCTTCTCCCTTCCTCCCTCCCCCCCAATCTCTCTTTCTCCCTTCCTCCCTCCCTTCCTCCTCCCCCCCAATCTCTCCTTCTCCCTTCCTCCCTCCCCCCCAATCTCTCTTTCTCCCTTCCTCCCTCCCTTCCTCCCTCCCCCCCAATCTCTCCTTCTCCCTTCCTCCCTCCCCCCCAATCTCTCTTTCTCCCTTCCTCCCTCCCTTCCTCCCTCCCCCCCAATCTCTCCTTCTCCCTTCCTCCCTCCCCCCCAATCTCTCTTTCTCCCTTCCTCCCTCCCTTCCTCCCTCCCCCCCAATCTCTCCTTCTCCCTTCCTCCCTCCCCCCCAATCTCTCTTTCTCCCTTCCTCCCTCCCTTCCTCCCTCCCCCCAATCTCTCTTTCTCCCTTCCTCCCTCCCTTCCTCCCTCCCCCCCAATCTCTCCCTCTCCCTTCCTCCTTCTCTCCCCCCCCCCCCCATCTCCCAATCTATATCCTTTGATTCTGGATAATAAACTTTCTGCAAATTTGCAGGTTTTTCATTTTTTTTTTTTTTTTTTTCATTTTTTCATTTTTTGCGTTACCTGTCGGTTCTTCTCCCTCTTCCTTGTTTATTCAGTTTTCCTGATTCTGTTTTTTCCTTTTTTTTTTTTTTTTTTTTTTTTTTTTTTTTTTTTTTTTTTTTTTTTTTTTTCCTTTGGTGTTGCTTTGTCTCTCATTCTTACCTCGTCTCACTCTTATATTTTGTACTTTATTAATTCCCTGTCTCCCATTTTATTCTATTTTGTTGTGTCTCCTTCTCCTCTCCGTCTCCCTCAATTATCCATTTTCTTATCTCTCCTCCCTCTCCTTTTTTATTCTATTTTCTTGTGTCTCCTTCTTCTCTCCCTGTCTCTCTCGTTTATCCATTTTCTCATCTCTCCTTCTCCCTTTTATTCTATTTTCTCGTCTCTTCATCTCTCCCTGTCTCCCTTTTATTCATTTTATCTTTTCTTTGTTTTGCTTCTTCCCTCCTTCTTCCCTTGTCTCATTATTTTGTCTATTTCCTACTTTATTCATTCCCTTGTCTCCCTTTTATCTATTTTCTGATCTCTCCTCCTTCTCCCTTTTTATTCTATTTTCTTGTGTCTCCTTCTTCTTCTCTCCTTGTCTCCCCCTTTTATCTATTTTCTCATCTCTTCTTCTTCTCTCTCTCTCTGTTTCCCTTTTATCTATTTTCTCATCTCTTCTTCTTCTCTCTCTCTGTTTCCCTTTTATCTATTTTCTCATCTCTTCTTCTTCTCTCTCTCTGTTTCCCTTTTATCTATTTTCTCATCTCTTCTTCTTCTCTCTCTCTGTTTCCCTTTTATCTATTTTCTCTCTCCCTGTCTTCCTTTTATATTTTATTCATTTTCTCGTCTCTTCTTCTCTCCCTTTCTCCCTCATTTATCTATTTTCTCATCTCTTCCTCTCTGCCTGTCTCCCTTTTTATTCTATTTTCTTGTCTCATCTTCATCTCTCCTTGTCTCCTCCTTTTATTCATTTTCTCATCTCTTCTTCTTATCTCTCTGTCTCCCTTTTTATTCTATTTTCTTGTCTCATCTTCATCTCTCCTTGTCTCCTCCTTTTATTCATTTTCTCATCTCTTCTTCATCTCTTCATCACTGTGTCCCTTCTTATTCATTTTCTCACTTCCTCCTTCATCTCTCTCTCCCTTTCTCCCTCAGTTATTCCATTTTCTCTTCACATCTTCATCTCTTATCCTATCTCCTTTTTTATTCATTTTCTCGTCTCTCCTTCATCTCTTCCTGTCTCCCTTTTATCTATTTTCTCATCTCTTCGTCTGTCCCTGTCTCTCTTATTTATTTATTTTCTCGTCTCTCCTTCATCTCTCCCTGTCTCTTATTTATTCTATTTTTTCATCTCTCCTTCATCTCTTCATCCTTGTCTCCCGTTTTATTTGTTTCCTCCTTCATCTCTCTCCCTTTCTCCCCCATTTATTCCATTTTCTCACTTCCTTCTTCTCTCTCCCTGTCTCCCTTTTATTCTATTTTCTCACTTCCTCCTTCATCTCTCTCCCTGTCTCCTATTTATTCATTTTCTCA